ATCCAGTCATTCAAAACAGTGAGAACTGAGCCTTCCATAATTACTCATTTAGAAATATCTAAGTTCCCACATCTGCGAATCATGGCACAGTATGAAGGAAGTAAAGGTGCTGCCTTTCCCCTCAGAGATCTTAAAATGTGTTGGGGTGCTGCTGACATGTCCACGTAAATAGCTTCCACTTGCTGACCCCTTTCTTCCAAGAGCCAGAGGGATCCAACTAAGTTGTAGCTTCTAGTTCCAACCGGGGTCTTCAACAGCTTGGAAAGAAGGCAGGACGAAGTTCAATGTACTCTAGAGCTGAGCTAAGCAGAACCAACAAATGTCTTTTGGGGTCAAAGTGAGCTCTTCTTTTTGTGGCTTCTCGGCTCATATGGTGGAGTCAGAAGGGTGTATTTTTGTGGTTAGACAGACTGGAATTTGACCCTGGCTCCCCAATTCCCGGCCAGGTATCTTTTGGTGAGCTACCTGACCTCCCTCCCTGAGCCTTCCTTTCCACATCTGCACAAAGAGCCTCCTGACACCTGTGTCATGGGGCCTTGGTGAGCCTCGGAGAGGAAACACAGAAGCCGTCAGCACTCTTTCTAACCTGGAGGAGGTGCGAATACACACTGCCTCTTTTCTAGGCCAGCTCAGAAATAAGCTAACGTTTATTTTTAAAAGAACAGGAAGCAGATTTCTGAACCTGGCTAGGACTTTCCTGTTTGGCAGGGCGGGGCGGCGGGGGGGGGGGGGGGGGGGGGGGGGGGCGGGGGCGGATCTTACCTGCAAATGGGCCCTGGAGTTTATAATAAATACAAGTCATGTAAGAGTTTATAGCCATACCTGACCCCATCACCAGAACAGAGACATTCATCCATGGACTAAGCATTCCAGGAAGCAGGAGAGATGAAAGACAGATGAATGGTCTCCAAAGAGAAGGTTTGGACTTGACCCTAGCAGAAAACCTACTAATGCCCTGATGAGGCTCGGTGCCCCACTTTTCCAGGCTCATGCCTAAGCCTATTGTTTTCCTTTACACACGTGTCTGTTTTTCCCGGCTCTGGCCAAGCCTGCAGTTGGAAATGCTAACAGGATCTGCTTTGGTTGAGCCCAGGCTCAGGGCACATCATAAATTCCACACTGTGATCTTGCTTTCGTGACTTGTGCAGTCAAACTTTGCAAAGTCCTGGGGCTTGAAGTTTCAGAAGTTTTAGAGAAGTGACGAATGAAGTAAGGGTGGAGGCGAGTCTGAAGACTGCCCATACCAGACCTAGTTATAACCAGGATCATCTCCTTGCACCCCTTCCAGCAAGGAAGCCAGGTGGACCTTCCTGGCAGAGACCTTGACTGAGTTCCCACAAAGGCAGCAGGCTATTTGGAAATGATACATCCCTGGTTCTACACTTTTTCCTTTCTAGGACAGGTGCAACACTAAGATCCCCATTAGGAAATTAATTCTTTGGTTTCAAGAAAAAAAGCCAGCTATCAACTCAAAGAGAATTTCAGGTGTTCAAAACAAACAAACAAACAAACAAAAAAATCCGGTGGTGGCCTCAGGCTTGCCTGCTGGCTGTACCTAATACTTCAAAATAGTGACCAATTAAAGGTTTACACTGGGCCATTTATCATGTCAGATTATAGAGTTTCTTCTCAGAGCCTCTTTGCTGGAGCTAATAAATGCCCCCCAACAACAACAAGTCTCTTGTCTTGTCAACGATGACTCAGTCCCTTTGCCTTTAGAGCTTGTCGCCAACATAGCCGCTGTGAGCAGCCCATTGGTGAGGAATTTTGTTTTATCTCAATATTTAGATAATCCCATTAGGGCACAGCATCTGGGACTACAGGATTTCCATCAAGACCCCTTGTCTGTCACATCATCCCTGGAACTGTAGATGCGTCCTGAGGTTATTTGATAGTTAAACCTCCTCCCCTTCAGCATTTGCTGTGTTTTGTGGTCGCTGTGCTCTCTGGGCTTCAGTCCACCTTGGATGTTCCCATCCCCAGATGAACAAAAGCATACAGATGACTGATGGACTAGAGTCTTTCTTCCCATCCAGATATTTTGGCAACTTGTGGCAGAACAATCACTCACAAAGGACACACCAGGGATCAAACACCAAGCAGCATTCAGAACAGCCACTGCAAAGTAGATTTGGAAACAGAAAAACAAGGAAAGGAAACATTCTCCCGGGCCTGATAGATGCATTTTAAAACTCCAAGTATTTCTCAACAACTTAGCATGAAGTTAGAGATCAAGTGATACTTGGCTGTTTCTTATTTTGGGATCCCCAAATTTACATTTCTGTGCAGTAAGTTTGCTGAGCAAATTAATATTTGCATACAGAGATGCAGGCAGTGCGGCAGTGAAACAGCTGCATGTGTTTGGAAAGACTTGGAGCTCCCGCACTGATTAGCTCCTGCATTTTTGTTTTTTATTCCCCAAACGGACACTCACTCTGACCCAGATCATTTGGTGATGAGGGTCAATTCATGTTTAAGCTTTGAAGATTAGAGAGACCAGAAAGGGCCACCACTTCTCTATTTTCTTTTAAAAACTTTAAACTTTAAAAAACTAAAAACCTTTAAAAATACATAATATTCTGAGTTCATGAAAGGAATTTATCCACATTTCTGCCACATTAAATGTTAGCAAAGTTTACATTGGACTGTCATATTTCTTTACTTTATTCACTAGCATACAAGATGTCGATCTGAACATCTGGTTTTTAATAACCCTCGACATCTGGGAGCTCCTTTTTATTCCTATGGTGGACGAGGAACAGTAGTAGTGATATTGGCAGCGTATATTTTCAAACTACAACTCCTGTCTGTTTCAATCATAATTAATTACCACTTTTTAATATAGTTAATTTGCTAAAAGTGATTTGCATTAGACCTCATTTCACTGTTAAGAAAATAGCGGTAGGTTTTGGTGGCAGTGGCTTTTCTTTTTGCTTACTTTCTTCTCTTTTAAAAATTAAAACCCGATAGGAATGGATTTGGAACAAAATGAATGTATATGTGATGTTGGGTTTTAAATATGAAATGAAATAAACTGCTCTGCAAGGAAAGTTATTTTATAGCTATTTAAGAGGAAGTCGGCAGTGGCTGTAGGCTGTATTTTAGAGAAAGCCTCCTATTTTGTTTTGTGACTTTGGCAAATCATAGCATCTTTCTATGCTTGGAGTTTTTCTACAGCAGCAATTTTGGGGGTCAAGAATCTTATGATGAAAGCTAGGGCCTCCATCCAGAGACATATATTTGCACACATACTCAACAACATTCTTCATTGAATTTCAAGGGGTTGCTAGGCCCCTTGAAACCCATTTATGAATGCCCTCGGGTCTTATGCTGTAAACTTTCCTCCTTTATGAAGATGAAAAGGAACATCAAATTTGCTTTTCTCCAGGGACAGAGAGGAAGTTAAATGAATGTAAAAATACATTTTTCCTAAGTCACATAGGGAAAAGGGAAGTTTCTTGCCAAGAGCAATTATTAGACTGTTTAATAATAAATAAACACAGATAATTTTTACGTAAGAAGGCCCAGCTAAAATGATCAATGTATTTTATTGTTTGCCAGAATATTCCTACCTAAGCTGTCAAGTGAAAATTCATACTGAGTCATCCAGTTCAGACTCTGTGCAAATCATTCCATTGACTCACGTCAGTCAGGGATTCGTAACCTTTGTGGGCCGTGGATCCCTTTGGCAGTATGATGAACTCTTTGGATCTCTTCTCAGAATAATTTTTTCAATGCATAAAATAAAATACCTGGAAATACAAAGGTAATAAACTGTATTGAAAGTCAGTTGAAAAAAAATCTTTAAGTAGATAAAAATGACTAGACCTACTGGCCAGATTAGGTGGAACTGTATGAAACTGCTATTTTTCTAGGTAAAAATGGCCAAGTATTGGCATTTTTGTATGATTCAACCTAATAGTATAACAACTTAACCAATAAGGAGTCAAATAATGAGAAAATATTCCAAGTTTTTTTCCTCCTATTCCTGATTTTCAAAACAAGAAGCAAATCATGGCAAAATCTGACTTCATTGGAGATCTATTAAAAGGCACAGCTCTCAAATTATGCGTGACACCAGGGTATGTTTCAATCCTTGCAGTAAACTGTGAGAATTGTTCAAAACAGGGACTTTGCTACGGGGATATACCTCTGTCTTCAAAGATTCCATTTGCCTGTATATTAACCACTTTACTAAGTGAGGAAAGTCACCAGAGCTATTTTGGAAACACTTTTCCACAAGAATTCCAAGGAAAGAAGTTTCAGTTTATCCGCAGTTGAACACAATTTTAAGTTAAACAAAACTTTCTTTCTACAAGCATTCTACTGAATTAAAAGTTTACCTCTCTTTTCTTTGAAACTTATTTGATTGCAAATGTATAATCATTCCACGCAACTGTATAATCATACCATCGCCAGTGCATCCTCTTTCATGCTGAGAGCAACGTAGAATCTGTCAACTAAGAAGATGCATAACCAATATGAATTATCGCCTGCTGAAAAAGTTTGTTCCACCCGAGTAGATGGAGTTGTGTGTGTGTGTGTTTTTAAAAAATTCTTCTTCAGCCTTTATTGATACTTTAAGCTTAAGAGAAATTAAGGGTATTTGATTACTATAATTACTTCTCTGCTTACTTAAAAGGTTTAATCTACTCCTTAGGCATATGCAATTCAGATTGCATGCTTTCCAAAAAAATAATCATCTGCTAATGTAGACTAATTTTAATCTTCTAATCCAATCTTGACACAGAGTCAGAGCTGGGTGGGTGGAATGTTTTTGTGTGTGGGTTGCCATAGATACAAAACTTGGTTATGTATTTGACAAGTCGGTGATGTGGAACTTAAGTTACTATGGATTTTTTTCCTCAGTCTTGAAGATTAAAAAACAAAGTGAAGATTAGCGTGCCTTTCCAGTGCATCTCGGTGTAACTAACCTTCTCTTCTTTCATTCTGGTGCTCCCCTCCTCTCTGTGCACCTCCCCACCTCGGGCCGGCCGCAGGATGACGAGGAGGGCATATGGGCATAGCCGGGCCTGTAAACCAAAGTTCCAGTTTTGTTTTGAGGGGTGAGAAACCATCTTTTATATCATTTTTCTTAAAAAATTGCATTCTAGTGTTGTATTGTGTGCGTGCTCAATTGTGCTCGCTGATGTTTGTGAATTGTGCCCTGTGTTTGCTACTGTGTTCTGTGAGCGCAGAATGTCCGCGTGCCCTGACCCTTCCCAAGAGCCCCCTCCATCCTACCTCACCTCCCCACCCCACAACCACATTACTGCTCTGCCTTGTTGGGGCTGGGTTTAGCACGATTCAAATGTTTCTACGTTATTTAAGATGTAAACTATGCCCTTATTAGGATTTATACACACTTTTTAAGGCATGATTGTGGACTCAGAAATTGTCGCAATTCTCCAGTCGTGGTTTTCAGCCGACTACTTGCTTTTACCAGATATGCCAGTGTGGTGTGACTCTCACGTCCTTCTGGTTGTGTCAAATGTTTGGCAAGGAATAAGGAAAATAAAACTATGTATCTTCATGGAGCTGAAACTATCATCTCTAAGAAGCCCGTTTAATGGATTGTGCTATCTCTTCTATGGCAGTTCTGAAGAAAACACAAGGATCAAGGCATAGTAATGGTGAATGGGTAACTGTAACTCTTTAAATGAATTAGAATAGAAATATTCGTATTAGCAGGTCTTATTAGTGACATTTTATCTGTTGCTTTTTAAAAATTATACTTCTAAGAGGCTTTGCATTAGAAATTACACACATTGTATTTATCAGAGGGTTTTGTACTTTTAAAAGCTGATCTTTAGCTATTAAGAACTCACCCTTTATTTACGTCCTATCTGCATTACAATTGAATAATGACACATGTAATTACCACATGGTTACAAATGGAACATTGAAGTCTAGAAACTTTTGCTGCTGAGAATTACACCTCTCCTGTACACTGCAGGCTGTGGAACACCAAGTCACAAACTCCTTGGAGTTGAATATACATATGGTTACATGGAATACGGTATTAAACTTGGTAACATTGCAAATGACATTTTATTTGGAACAAGGAATATACATTGTGTGCCATGGTGACTTTTTCTGATCAGAAAGTATTCAATGTATAGTTCTTTATTCTGAGACAAGCATGAAATGACACAGTGCTGGAGAATCAACAGGTGTGGGACAATTCTTGGGGATAACTTAGCATTTATGTCTTTTCCCAAGTCTTGCCTTCAAATAGCATGGCAGGTGGTGCTTCAGGTGAAGTTTAACCTAGAGCTGGTACGTTTTGCCTGTTGGTGAGTTTCATTGTTGTGTTTTACTTCTCACTTGAACCTGTTATACGTCCCACTAATGGGTCAGTTTGCTTTTTTTTTTGGTACTGAGGGTGAAGTTCACAGAATGGTGGTTTTCAGATATAACATCTTTCTACATAGTAAAGATGTAATGCCTCCTGGATCCATTTGCTGCCGGTAAAACCTGCTTCATGTTAATACAGGAGTATCTCATCTCTTCTCCCTTTTCTTGGCAAAGGGGAAAATAGCACTGGAATGAACACTTCTAGATGCAAAGTCATTCCATAGGAAAGCTTGTCAGTATGAGGAAGTGGGGAAATCAGAGAAGTTCTGGATGTTCTATGGGAGCAACTCTTTCCCTCTCTAGGGAAAATATTAAGAGAAATGTCACGTTTACTCACAAAGAAAAGCTAATAAAAGTGGAAATTGACCTAAACTAATATGAAATGAGAAGAAAGCGTTTTATAGCATTAAAAAGCAAACACGTGAAGCCTGCCTCAAACATGCATGGGCTAGGTAGGTAAAGGAAAGTTCTAAGAGTTTGGCAGTTGTCTTGAAAACTATAGCTCCTACTTGGGGCTCTTCTGTGAAGCTACTTCCGCCATCATGAGTATCAGGGCGCTAGGCGGCACTTGTGTGTCCTCCTGACTAGTAAAGATTTTTTATTGCTCTTTCACAAGATTCATGACACCCTGAGACATGAACAGTGTTGTTATCCTCAGGATGGAATCGGCTCCAAGACCCATAGGAAATCTTGCCTTGCTTAAGGCAAATGCAGACAATCGTATTAAGCCTTATCCCCTTTATTTCTTCATGAATTTCCCCAAATGCCATGGACACCAGAAAATAAATGTTTTTAGTAATTTAGTCAATATATAATCCTACTTTAGTATGCTGTAATAAATTTCATATGCTTCAGAGGAAAACTACTTATCTTTCTTTATGACTCCTTTAAACAAGTTTGCTTAGATATCCTCAGGCTTTTAAAACCATGTCTTTAAGGATTTAAATAATGAGATACTGGGGGAAACCTTCTGTTTTTGAGCAGCCGTTGCATGTTTTGAGTTGCATTACAATCCATGAGGCCTTAGGAGACATTAAATTTATAACTAAAGATGGATAATAGTGGTACATTAAAAATTAACTGTTTTCAATGTTTTGATTTATGGCCCCTATAAAAGAAACATTACAAGATGTTATTTTACTAGACAACAGTAATATGCTCATAATAGCATCAGAAGGCTCTGACTTGAATCTGGAGTTTTGGTGCTGAAATGAATCATAATTTAGAAAAAGTTACTCTAAAAATTACAGCAAATTGGAATTAGCATAACAACCCTGCCAGCTCCTCCCTTTTTTGCCACTTCTGGATGTTAAGTCCAGACATGATTTATTTGTCTCACTATGGTCATTCAAGAGTGATATTTTCCGAGCACACAGTGGACCAGGGAAAGTTTACTTTTCTAAAGAGTTTTGACAGCCCCCAGAGCTAGCCTTTCCCCTCTTAAACCTCACATTCAGGCCTGGATTTATCAGCGTGTGGCCTGTGCAGTCCACAGGCCCTACACTTAGAAGGGCTTCACTCTTAGGTTAAAACTCTACTGTCACTGTCTTGAAATTCCTAACGTTTTTCAAAGAAGGGGCCTCACGTGTTCATTTGCCCTCCGTGCCAGTAATTATGTAATCTATGCTGCCTACACCAACCATATATTCCTATATTCTGCTTTTCAGTTCTCTTTATACTCCCCCTCCCTGTTGGATCATCCACACTCTTGTTTTCTTATGCCTAAGATTTACCTGTGGCCAGCCTCATTGTTCTGGGTTTCTTCTCAGACTCCATGGGATCACATTTCCAGCAAGTTGTTGCCCTCATAGGTATCCCGGGCACTGCGTATTCAACCACTGTCCTCTCACCACCAACCCCCCAAACCCCACATGCACACATACTTTCAATTGTGAAAATGTGCTCTTGGAGGCCTAACTCTATTCCCTATCTTGCCTTGCAAAATGCAGGAAAAGCAGCTCCTCAATTCTCCATAACTTTCCTTCAGGAAAATCCACTTAATGTAGGTACCATTTGTGTCAGCAAATACTTCATTTACGTCGAATGAAGGTGCTTTCCTCGGACCCCCCAAGAGGCATTCAGGTTTGTGAACATCAATGAGGTGGGCAATGGACGAGCGAATCGAGGCATCTTGTGAGATTTAGTGCCACATCTGCCTTGACATTTAAATGTTTGAGCTCTTACTGTGAACTCTTGTAATTCAGCAAAGATAGAACACAAGTTTTTATTTCTTAAACCACTAGAAAAGAATTAGTCTTTTTTGATTGAAAACATATACAAATTTTTAGGACCCAATTCGTAAAAATACAGATGTGGCATTAACAAGTTTTGGCATGAGGCTGTGATGCTAGTAGATGCAGCCTGTTCAAAATGAAGAATTGTAGCTCTCTGCCACCAGCACATGGACAACGTTATGGTGAGTAAAAATATGAATCCCAGAACATTTAGACATGAGGAAGGGGTGTTTTACAAATAAAAGTGCTGGATGGCCCAGTGGAACTCCCTGCCATGCCTCCCTTCTGGAAGAATGAAAGAAGGAGGAAGGAGATGTTTTATTTTGGCTAGGAAGTTCATGTCCGACTTGCCTTCTTTTAGCGGACAGAGTCTGGACACTGGGTCTGTGCTTGTCCTGGGACTAGAGAAATTTAATGGTGGCAAAAAGAAAGTCAAAGAAAGAGCTCTGAGCTCTACACAAAGCAGAGGTTTCTATACAAAGTGGTGGTTTCTATGCAAAGTGCAGGTTTTCTTTTACACCTCCTATACAGGGGTACCTCCTGGTGCTTTTAATGCAATTTAGATTTTGTGTAACTGAGGATCTGATATAACTCTTTCTTGTGCCGTTGGCTACTCAGACTTTCATTTATTCATTCCTTCATTTATTATTCACTCATTTGTCCATTCTTTCACCGAACGGTTCTCAGTTAGATGCTAGGAAATCAATGACGAATAAGATTGCCATGGTTGCTGCCCTGTGGATCTTGCCATCCAGTCAAGGGACAGAACATAAATAATTAGACATCTCAATAGAAACCTTGTACATTTTGGTCATGGCTTTGATGGAAACCAGAAAGATACTGAGATTAACATGAGGGACCTACTTAAGAAAGGATGTTCAGCAAGCATCGCTCCAAGGAAGTAAGTTTTAAGCCAAGTCTTAAAAGGGGAGAGTCAGGAGGTACCCACGCCAAGGCATGCATTTGGGAGGTGGTCCCAGGAGGCATTCAAAAGCTGGAGGTGGGAAGGAGTTTATAAGCTGAAGAAGCTTGAAAACCATAACTCTGGGTAGAGCACAAAACAGCGAGATGAGGATGGAGAAGAAGGAAGGGGCCAGAAAATGTAGGGCCTTTTAGGGCGAGGTAGAGAGTTTAGATTTTTAGCCTAACAAAACTGAGCAGACATCAGAGGAGTTAAAGCAGGGACATGACATGATTTGATTTATGTTGTCGAACAACCCTGGCTCCTGTGTAGAGGATGAATTGTCATGGCAGGAAGAGCAGAAGTAGAGGCTGTTCCATGATCTGTGAGAGAATTGATAGCACTGACCCAGGGCAGCAGTAGTGGAGATGCAGAGAAGTGGATAAATTGGAGATAAGACTAGGAAGTGAAGCCAGGAGGACTTGGCTGGGGAGGTAAGATAAAGAACAGAATTGAGAATGCCTCCAGATTTCTACCTTGGGTGTCAAAGCTGGAGCAGGCCATTGGTGGTGGTGGTGGTGGGGGCACTGAGAGGGAACTCAGAGTTCTGGTTTCCCCAGATGTCCAGTCGGTCTGGCCAAGAGAAAGGCAGGCTTTTGAAATAGGCTGTTTTCCATGTTCCTGCCTATCAGCGGGGGAATCTCTGGCCTCTTATTGCAGTAATGTGCAGGCTGACAAGTTTAAAGCATGGCTGAAGTCTAACTTCAAGAGTGAGTGATTCCTCCAACTCTTGAGGAAAAGGAGATTGCAAAGCAAAATCAGTAGTTATAGAATTAGGAGACTTGTAAGGGGTAGCGATCTGTGGAAAAACAAAAATCCCAGAGTTGTAGGAGGTTGAAAGGGACCTAGGGACTCTAGGGTCCTAGAGAGGAGGGAGTTGCCATTGGCTCTTGCAGTTCCCCCTGAGATCTCCAGGGATCAAGGATTCTGTGGGTTAAGGGGTACAGCATGAGGTTTTGATTGCTTTTGATAATTGACTTCCCATCTTGAAATTCTATGTATATTATTTTTCTGCAGAAGAAGCTTTCAATAATCTCTTTTCAGGAGTTAATATGAGAACTAACCAGAAGTAGCTACGAGATGTTTTAGAACCACCAAGACAATGTCTCTGCCTACTTCCAATTGCAAAATCGATTCCTGGGCAAAGTAAGATGTTTTTGCTTTATCTCTGTCTCCACTTCTTCCTTTTATTTTGCTCTTCTACTCCTCTGGAAGGTGTCTGCATATTTATGTCTTCTATTCAGGCTTACAAAGCTGCTGTTTAGAGCTTCAACTTGAATATCCTATTCACGGTCTTTGCAATTAGTAATTTATTCAAAAAATATTTCTTCATCTTAGTACTGGAGATGTACTGGATATACATCTCAGTACTGGAGTCAAGGTAGTGAACAAAGTGTGATTCCTACCCTGGAGGAGCTTAGCGTAGTACACAGATTCTCAAGCTGGCGTCCATAAACCCTGGAGGCTCTGCAAATCCCCTGATGTGGTTAATAGACTTCAATGTGGATGTATGTACATCCCCGTAAAGAGAGTATTTATGTTCCTCAGCAGATAGTGGGGCCAGTGACTCAGAAAAAGTGAAGCAGACCCTCATCTATGGGAGACTGGGTAACATTGTGGTGGGGTGGCTAACAGCGTGGTCTCTGGATTCAGATAGACCTAGGTTTGGATGACCTTGGGTAAGTCACCTTCCATCTCTCCCCTCCATATTCTCTTTGAGGAAGGTTGTGACACCCCCAGGGCTGTGATGAGCTGAGTAAGATGCCAAGCCATGCCTGGTACACGGTGAGTATTCAACCCTAGGTAGAATATCAGTATATCACTATTATGTTACTTCTGGGCTCAGGAAGGTGTACTGTATCCGTAAACAGAGGAAAGTGGTTGATACTGGGGTTGTTGAATTTGGGAGGTAAAAGAAAAGGCAGAAGAAAAGCAATTTATTCCTGTGGCCCATAGCTACACCCAGGCCATCTACACATTTTCTAACAAGCCTTATTTAAAGCATATTTACCCTATAAACATACCCTCTCCAGTTACCTTTGATTTTTGTAACACTTGGGTATAGCAAAGGAAAGGTTGATTGTTGGAGAGTATGAATTAGTCCATGTTTGTAGCAGAGGGTTTCTTTCAACTAAAACAAAAATCTAATCATGAAAGCCAATGAATATTTAACAAATAATTAATTGTGAGCTAATGAATTGGAGGAGAGAAAAGGATAATAATGTCTCAGTCCACCTCTTTCTGCTCTCAAGGGTGAAGGACTTGGGGGCCGAGGTAGAAGCTTTTAAGCAGATTGGAGGGCAGTAAGTAAGTTCCTGTGGGTTTTTCTGGAGCTCATAAGGGTTACCTGGCAAAGCAATGCATGTTGGCTTAGATACGACCACACTCTCAGGACTTGAAATCTGGCTGAGAAATCATAAACAAACAGTGGTGATAAATTACCATGGGCCAGAGGCGGGAGGCGTCGAGCAGAGTGTTACTGCATTACATTACATCCTTCCTGTGCCAGGGCTGGCGCACAGGGAGCACGCTGGCTCTCCCACCCCTTTGTCATTTGCTTTAGAGTATGCTGTCGGTCTGGTCTTGTTTAACCTCTTTATTAATGATCTGTAAAGGGGAGAAAAGAGCATATGAAGGAAAGTCACAGATGACACTAATTTGGAAGGTGTTGGAAACACTAGCGAGGTCAGAGAAATCACACAAATGGCCTGAAGAAGGTTAGGAACATGGAGGGAAAATAACAAATCTTGGAGAAGTCCAGACACTCGCATCTGGTGAAAATTAATCTGAGACACAGATACCAATGGGTGGGAGGGATATGAAAAGCTGAATGCTAAAATAATCATAATAACAGCAATAATAAGCTCAGTGAACATCAGCAAAACCAGCTAGCCTGAAAGTCTGCCATGGGTGAGAGTGGGGAGAGAGGTGCCTGTGGCAGTTAGCACTGTCAGTGTTAGCAGGTGCCAGAGAGACATGCGTGATCTTATGTGACAATCCTGCCCATCAATTGTCTAACACCTGGGACATCACAATATTATACATGCTTTATCTCAGAGGATCACCCAAGTTATCAGAAAGGTGGAAAGAAAGGCTGGGCACAGTGGCTCACACCTGTAATCCCAGCACTTTGGGAGGCTGAGGTGGGTAGATCACTTGAGGTCAGGAGTTCATGACCAGCCTGCATGGCAAAACCCTGTCTCTACTAAAAATGCAAAAACTTAGTTGGGCGTGGTGGTACATGCCTGTAATCCCAGCTACCTGGGAAGCTGAGGCAGGAGAATTGCTTGAACCTAGGAGGCAGAGATTGCAGTGAGTGGAGATCGCGCCATTGCAATCCAGTCTGGATGACAAGAGCTAAACTGTCAAAAAAAAAAAAAAAAAAAAGAGAGAGAGAAAGAAAGAAAGAGAGGGTTTTTAAACAATGCAGGGCATCATTTAATGTTGGAGGCAGAACCAAAGCTTCTAAAAGAATTATTAATAACACTGGGAAATGGCCATAATGGCACTTTCAGGGAGACCATAAGGTATTCCTCTAGAATATGTAATGTGGGGTTGAGCAGGCTCACAGGTTTCATTCTGAGACTTGTAGACTGAAAATATATACTTCTCAGAGGCCTCTTTGGGGAACCATCCAATTGGTGGGCAATGTAACGCTCTGGGTCAGAATTGTCTTGTTGGTTCAGGGAAAGCAACTCCAGCCCCACCTCTTTCCAGCCATCTCCACAGCCCCAACCAAAGGGGAAAACCAAGACAACATCTAAAATCAGAGCACATATTATGGCCACCACTGGGCGTATCAATCAGAATGGCTAGATTCCTTTCTGCTATTGGAGCATCCATTAGCTGGAGGTCATTAGCCTTACCAAAATGTACCTTAACTGTATCCTCAGGCCTCCCCCATATATTCCTTCTCCAGAGTCACAAGATCCCTACAGGAAAATTGCTAGTCCACCACCTGGTAGCTACCTAGTGTTCTTATGAAACTGGTACTGCAACCCTCATTGTGCCTTCCCCGTGAATGTGTTTATCAGAGACTTTGAGATGGGAATGTATTCTAGGAATATACATGCCCTCTAACTTTGTTTTCTGGGAAATATAACGTAAATGCTGAGAACAACAGCACACAGCAACTGAGAATTTCCACTGTGTCAGGTCAGGATCTAAGCTGCTGATATGTTTGGTCTTGAGTGGAGAAAGACTGGGACGTCAGGCCCCCATCTCTCTGGAGCAAATCCAGCACTTGTAAACATAGGTCCACGCATGCCTTGCAGCTCACGCGGTTGCTCCCATGGTGACAAAATCACTGAGATGCTGAGTCTTTATAAGGAGACTCCTTGACATTTCTTTCAGCCTAAGGGTCAGCATTTGCAACCCCACTGTGTGCCCTCCTGCTGTGCACCTTAATAAATCAGGTCCCTTCTTTTAGGTTTGGGTGGGTGGTTGAAGAGCAAGGATAGCTTTAGAATCTGCCAGTCCCCAAACATTTCCTTAGTTCCTCAGTCACTCTGTATATGCAGAGTGGTAGAAACAGAGCCCCTGGAAGTTTGAAGAAGATTGTTATAATCTCTTTGAGAGAAGATTTTCAGTTAAACCTATTAGATCCAGAATAAAAAGGCAGACTCCCATATATGGCGAAAGACCCCTCGCTGTACATTGTATCTTTGTCCATCAGAGGGCAAACATAGGATGAGGCCCTGAAATAATAATCGCAGATTGCTTTCACTGGGAAACCTGAGCTGCTTACAGCCAACAATTCATTTTCCCCATGTATTACTTTTATGTTCATTTTAGAAAACTTAGGAAGTTTAATAAGGATATCAGGAAAAAAATTTTCTCAAAATCCTCATTCAGAGAAAGCATCATTTTTAACCTTTCAGTATTTATCTTGCCATATTTTTCCTATGCAGATGGTCTTGTAAATATGTACTTGATGGAGATGGGAATCTGACTTTGCATAACCTTTGGTGCAGAGTGGTTGGGTAGTATCCAGGCTCTAGAGCCTCACAGACTAAGTTCAAATACTGGTTCCACCACTCCCACCTGATGAATTAAGTCTTTAAAGGTGGTATTATCATTTACTCGGCATTACATGACTGTTTTTCACATCTGTTTATAATTTTGAGATATGCTCTGCATCAGGAAGTCGGGAGGTCAGGGGCAGGCTGGAGTGGCCAAGCACTCTGGAGCCCCTGGGATGCAGAGGCTGGGAAGAGTACACTGTTGCCCAGTGGGTTTGTCCTTGGCAGTGGTACACGAGGCTTCATTGTTCCCTGCTCAGGTGTCAGAGGAGTGCCTCTGATTGCCCTGAGTCAGTGTGTGATGGAATTAGCAACCCTGCTGATCCCCCAGCCTCCATTCTTCTTTCTGTGCACCTTGATCTCTGAAGTCACTGTGTTATTTGAAAGGAGTTTCTGTACAAATACCTCTACTAAAAAAACAAACAAACAAACAAAAACACCTCTGTGATTAAAAAGGGAGTCTCCCCATTGGCCATGACACTGGATCGTAAACAGATTCAGTGTGTGGGACTCTGGCTGCTGTTGTTTTGTGTTGGGTTTGTGGTTTTATTTATTTTTTTGTACTTGTCTCCCCTGGTGCTGGGGCACTAGCTTGGGAGCATGATAAAAATCATGTTATTGAAGAAACCTTTCTGTTCCTTTTTTCTTTTCTTTTTTTTTTTTTTTTTTTTTTGAGACGGAGTCTCGCTCTGTTACCAGGCTGGAGTGTAGTGGCACAATCTCAGCTCACTGCAAGCTCTGTCTCCCGGGTTCAAGCGATTCTCCTCCCTCAGCCTCCCGAGTAGCTGGGACTGCAGGCATGCACCACCACACCCAGCTAGTTTTTCTATCTTTAATAGAGACAGGGTTTCACCATGTTGGCCAAGATGCTCTCGATCTCTTGACCTTGTGATCCGCCTGCCTTGGCCTCCCAAAGTGCTGGGATTACAGGTATGAGCCACGGCGTCCGGCCTCTGCTCCTCTTTGTCTGAAGGCAGGTGACACACTGGGAAACTCATGGCCAGCCTGTTTCCTTCTCAGAGAGGAAGGGCTTGCAGGGCTAACAGTGTTTCCCCTAGCTGATCCGAAACATGATTCAGGCTTAGTACAATTGGCCACTGAAAAGAATTGTCCTTCCCTCTCATGGTGTGTGGAATGAGAAAGGGAGAATGAGGAAGTCTTCTAGAGCCAAAGAGCAATCTTTGTCCCTCATTACACAACGGGCTTGGGACACAGGGAAATCTGATATGTCAGATAAGGAGGTGATGATATGTGAGGGTGCCAGCTGAGATGTACCAGATGAATTTTCTCCATGTTATTATTTTTAAAAATTATGAATGCACCAACATGTTAATGGAGCCCGGACCATTGAGCCATTACCTCATGTGAGGGCCTTACTCCAGGCAAGAGACTCCTACCTGCTGACACCTGCAGGAGCTTTATGTAGCTGGGTTGCCTTTCCATGGCAGGGACTGGGGACAGGGAAGGATGGACTCTGGCGTTTGCTCCTCTGTCGGTCACTGCCGTCCTGACAAACAGTGAGGGGGCCTTCAACACAGTGGCTCTCTGCCTAGTTCACTCATCTTGGGGAAAACACCTTAAAGTTCCAAGAGCTGACACTGCCATTTCTTCTACTTCTGTCTCACTCACGTAGCACCCTTGCCAGTTTAGAGAAAATGCCCTGTGTCCCTGATTTTCATCTAATCTGCCATCAGCTCTATGAGGATGGCAGACAGGTGACACCATGCCTATTTTATAGAGTAACAAAAGGAAGTTTGTCCAGGGCTATACAGATGAGACACAGGGGAACTAGTACGTGAACTTCAAACACGTGACTCTTGGCTAGCTACTCCTTCCGCTATAGTAGTAATTCCCTAAAGTGTTCCTCCGTGCACTGATGGTATTGGATATTAAGAGACAATTTTTTTTTTTTTGAAATAGAGTCCTCTGTCACCCAGGCTGGAGTGCAGTGATGTGATCATGGCTCTCCGCAGTCTCAGACTTGTGGGTTCAAGTGAGATCCTGCACCTCGGCCTCCCGTGTAGCTAGGAGGCACACACCACCATGCCTGGCTATTTGTGTGGGGGTGGGGGGCCTAGAGATGGTGTCTTGCTATGTTGCCCAGGCTGGTCTCAAACTTCTGGGCTCAGATGGTCCACCTCAGCTCCCAAGGTGCTGGGATTACAGGAATGAGCTACTCGACCTGGCCACTATTTTTAAAAAATAGTCATAAAGGCATAGGGTGTTCAAATAAGTTTGAGCAAAGCTGGATTAAACAGAATTCATAGGTTTCTCCACTGCAGGCCTTCTCAGAGCCTTTGACAGGCCAGGGTCCTCAAGCCAACCGTCACACTCCAGAGAAAGAGCGTTTGCTGTGCTTATTGCTCCCAGCCCCTTTTCTTCTCAGACCCTCATGTGGAATTAGAGTACACAGAATATATTTGGAGAAAGTTTTGCGCAGCCTGACTTCTCTTGGACTATGGGATGAGCCATTTTCCAAGCAGATGGAGCTACCACCACTGACTGAGGTAGTTAAACGAAGCCTGGACAACCTTATGCCAAAAATGATTAATCGACCTGAAAAGGAGAAGGCAGATAGCCTAGCACCACCATTAGGCTTTTCTTTATCTTACGATGCTTGGCAACTATGTTTTGCCAAGCGCTTACTTACCTGGAGCTTAATGGGCATATATATTCACTGTTCAACAAGACTGAGACAAATAAAAAGGAACTTGGGGCCTTTCTCAAAGGATATCGGCAAAGGAAAGGCTAGCATTTGCTTTCCTGTGCTAACGACCACGTGCCCACCACTGTCCCAAGTCAGGGCTTACTAGAAAACTTTGCAATGTCCAGATAGTAAATATTTTAGGTTTTGTGGTCCAAAATCTGTGGGCAAAATCCAGATATAGATGTTTATGTAACAAGAAAGAAAACAAATGTTCATAGATCTTTTTATTGAAGAAATTCAAAATATAATGAGTATAATTTTTTATAATATACCTCTACTAATGAGGAGAGAGTGGGTTTCTTTTAGGGGATAACATGGCACTTTATTGGAGGTCAAAATTAATATCCTCTGTTGTCAAAATCTATTGCAAATGTTCATCTGTTAATGCTGATCTGTA